TTGGTGAGTTATTTAACGGGCGCAATATTACATACAAAGTCGTAGTCACCGGTTTTGAGCACAACGATTCCGCGGTCTGCAAGCGCATCAATACTATTCTTTCATTGGGAAAACAGTTTATATGGTATAAGAGGGAATGCAATAGTCACTTATCTGAGCCCACATTCGTCACTTACCTGTATAACTATCTTAAAGTAGAAAGGTATGCTTATAAAATAAATGATCGAGAAACGAAATTCAACGATACCTGGGGCTCGTTGTTTTGCGCTTTAGCGGAGCGTGTAGAAAGGTAACCGCCCTAGAATATGAAACAAGCACTTTGTGACTAATTAATAATTATTGTTGTGTGTCACGATGTTTGCGTAGTGCAACATGATGTGTACAGTTTTTTTTTTCCTACGATGGGAAGGGGGGAAGGGGCAAATGTCAGGTGTCGATGATACACAATGTTAAAATGACTGTCCTTTGTATGTATGCATATGGTGTTTGTTATATGAAGTGTTAGTGGAAAACGATGTGCGCGCTACAAGCCCCCGCCCCCATGACCCATCCGGGCCAACCCGGGACTGGCCCCTCCTGTGAGGGGCCGGTCGGCCGGCCGGGCGTGCGGAGCGCCGACCTAGACGGGTCGACGCTTCGCTCGCCCGGTCGGTGGTTAGGGGGCACCGCCCGGGGCTGCTTGCCGGGCGTTTGCAGTCTTTTCGTGGTTTCAAGCGTTCAAGCATGTGATTTGATATTTCTCCCATGCATTAGGTTGGAGGTCAAGGTCACCTGAAGGTCAGGTCAGGTCATTGAACTTTGATGACCTTGGTCCACTTTTTCGAGTTTTACATGTTTCTAAGCTAGTTTTTGGAGCTGAATTCGATTTTAACGACATTTAAACATTTACGAAGTAGTTTTGGTGCCTTCGTAACATGCTACGAAGCTGTCAGAGGTGGTTGACACGTACTACAAATACCCGGTACGACCCTTACTGGTTGACCTGACCTGGCCTGACCTGACCTGACCTGACCTGGCCTAAATGCATTAAGACACCATCTGTGATAAAAAACTAACATGAAATTCGTGATCAGCATCCCGAAAACCCCCATAACAGCCACGATTTACGACGTTCTAACATGACCCTATTTTTTTACTTTTGGGTCATTGACCTGACCTGGAAGGTCAACCGATGGCCTAGGACCTTAAAGTTGGGTATCATCGGCTTCCTCTTGTCACGGGCAACACGCTCATTTTTTCCGCGAAGCTCTAGCTTAATCAGGGGCCAAACGCGATGGGGGTCGTACCAACCTTGTGCCGTCGAAAGACGCGAAATGGCCTGTGCCGGCGAGGGCTAATTCTTCGAATAGTATGATTTACATATAATTTTAGCATCATTGAAGCAGCATATTACTGGCATATATCGCCCGTTAGTTTCGCCTGTGACGTATTTTAGCAGCTGCAGTTGAGCCTGTGGTGACGGATTGCAGCATGGCTGAACCTTGGTCACTAACTGCTACTGGTGACGTTATCTGTCTGTCCGCGAAACTTGTGTGAGGCGATGTCATTTCAGGGATGATTCAGATAGGATGTAACTCATATCAACAAATAACGCCGTTTGCTGTAATGATTTCATGTTGATTAAACATGCGTTTGCTGTCACTGCATAAACATCAAATGTCATCTTTGTTTATAGACTGCGCCCAGTTCTGTTTAGATAGGTAATTGAATTAGACCGGCAGCGTTTATCTTGAAAGCGTATCTAAGGCGTCTGCCACGACACTTGTGTATGGCTATGTAATGTAGATTGCCATTAATTCCCTTCTTCTGGGTATTCCAAGGTTCAAACATATAAAATCCAGCGTGGCGCTAGTGTCGGATGCTTCATTTCTGTACAATTGAGAATGTAAAAGGATAAATCCTTTTCTCGCTACATGCTCCGATATTTTTTATAACTTTGTTTCTGGGCTGATCCTATCAAATTACACGCGTTTTAACCCTCGCTGGACCTATTGGTTTTCTAATTTCTACATACGCGCCGCCCGAGGGGGGGGGGCGGGTACAACCCCCCTCGCCGTTTCGCCCCTGGTGGAGCTAACGCGTCGCGAAAAAAACGAGCGTGTGCGCTGTTACGAGACGTAGAGATTGGTACCCAATTTTAAGGTCCTAGGTCAACCGGTGACCTTTGAGGTCAGGTCAAGTGCCCCAAGGTACGGCTCAGTTTTTGGTGAATAGCTTCGCAAAAAAAAAAACGGCCGCAGAGCCGCGATTTTGGCAGCATCGTATTTGCTTCGCTCAGGCGCGTCGAATGATATACTTTTTGTTCGGGTCAGGTCAACTTAGGGTGTTGACCTCAGGTCAAGGTCAGATCAGCACCCCCAGGTCACGAAGTTGGTCAAAAGAGGTCATGTTGCATATCATTCGATTCGGCAGGTCTTCTTGAGTCCATTGGTGGCTTTCCCGACTCGCTAGCTCAATTTGATCAAGAGTTATTGACGAAAAACGAATATGACCTTGATGGCGTCATAAATGACGTCACGCAAGGTCGAATTGCAAAAGTGACGCATCTAACCTTGCAAGGAGTGCATCAAATCACGATTCTGTGTGCTTGAGATAGTTAGAGATCGTTCCCGGCGCCAGAATAGCAGTTTTCATTTTTCCCCATTGGCTTATAACGGTGAGGTCACGAAAATGACCTGACCTCATATGACCTTTAGGAAAAATCCGAGATATACAAGCTGTGAAACTCATAATGGGTACTAGATCCTGCAAGTTTCATTTCCCTGTGACATCTCCTCTGGCACCTCTGGCAGTGAGGGCGTTGCGAAGTTGTGACATCTGAAGACCGTGCAGAGGTTCACTTATGACGTCACAGGTCAGTGACCTGACCTGACCTAAAAATGCAGTTGGTGTCAATAGATCCGGCTTGAATCAAAGGTTAGGTATGCCAAGTTTCAGCTCTCTATCGCCAGCGTGTTTGGAGCTATCGCGAAAAACCCTCGGGGTGCCGCCCCTCGGCCGGCAAGGGTTAACTTATCCCAACATTTATTGGGGCTTAAAGTTTATCCCATCAAAACATGGGATGAACGACAAAAACAAACACAAAATAAATCGTGAGTAGCGAGAGATATTTAAAAGTTACCGGTTGTATTTTTCTGGGAATTGAAAAAACAATCGCAAGTCATCTCCCCAGTCACCATCACGATCTCTGACAATGTCCTGTCATCTCTCCAGTCACCAGCACGATCTCTGGCAAATGTCGTGTCCAGTACCATCTCCCACGCGAGCACGGTCGGTCGCGACGCTCGGCGCCCTGACAGCTCCCCCATATCCGTGTCCGCTGTATCATACATGGTTCACCCATTAGCTGCCGCCGACTGCGGGGCCGACCCGCCGTGGGGCGCCCCGCTGTCGCCTTCTGAACATGATCACCATGCGGCGACGGGCCTCAGAAGTGAGACGCGCCGGCTCTATATGACGATGTCAGTGGTTGGCCAGAGTGCTACCGCGCGACCGCGGCCCGCGGCTCTCTGATGGACGACCCCGGAGTGCATTTGATGCTGAACACCGGTTGACGTGCGATGCTTCTGCTGTCTTTGTCTGCAACCCTCGCTACCTTGGCGATGGCAGGCGACATTATGCAGGTAGAAGGCTGAGCACAATGGCGTGCCCTATCGTGCATACCATCGAGCAGGCTTTCCAAGGATCCATCAGGCTCTAAATGCCGTCCCGGCTTTCGGCCTGTGCTTATCGAAAGCGTCACTCTGAAGAAGCGCATTGAGACTGGATATATTCTCGCATGGTCCTAGTCCTCGCTGCCTCTCATTGTCCCATCCCACCTAAACCCTAAGCGCATCAAATGAAGTGCTATCCAAGTCATTTGGCGTCTAACCAGGCTCCCAATCGATATATCTGTTGCTAGGCTCGTACAACTGACTTATCAAAGCCTCTTCCAGATGCCCGGTCAAGCTTCACGAGCCCTACAGGAGTCCCGTCGAGGTCCCGCCGTAGCCCCTCCCCCTCCCCCCGACGCGTGTGCTCTATCCTTCGTCACCCTCCTGCCGTCAAAATAAACGGCTCCAGATCGAACCGGGCCGGTGTCGACACCGGCCACGGGCTGCCGCCGATGGGGCCAGGGGGATGGGCCGAGTGACCGCGGGGAGGGTCGAGGGGCCGCAGGGATGGGCCGAGTGACCGCGGGCTGCCGCCGAGGGGCCAGAGGGAGGGAGGGACCGAGTGACCGCGGGGAGGGTCGAGGGGCCGCAGGGATGGCCAGCAGCCGATAAATCAACTAACCGTCAACCGAGGCTGGTGAGTGGGCGATGATTTATGAGTTCTAGGACGACCTCGGAGAGACCCCGGTGGGTTTCAGGGATAGGGGGAGGTACTCCAGACTAGTGCTGGCCTACAGGAAGATCCTGGCGGATACTGTCACGGATTCCGTGCTTCCCATTGCTGACTTGCGATGACAGTTGACACAAAGCCATGGAAGCAGGCAGGCCTGAGTGCAGGGGCTGACTGCGTCAGCGCCATCTAGTGCAGCTGGGAAACAGTCACCAGCGCCGTCTGCTGAGCCCCATTGGCTGACCTGGGAACCGGATGTTGCCACTTGCCAGTGAATGGTTACAGAGCCGACGCCTAGCATTTCAGTGTCATAAGACAACTGTTTAGTTGTTTGGGTGTTTGAAATACCCTATTCCATGTTTCTAGTTGGATTTTCATCGATAAACGGAGAAGAAGTGAAAAAACTTACCTCCAGCACAATTTGGTTGCGGGCCCCTGTGTGGGCTTAGCTACCGAAATGGTTGGGCTCTGGCGTGAGCTGGGATTTATGTCAATTTTAGGGTATAGTTTTCCTTAAATGAATTTTTAGTTTATCCTGTTTTTCATCTACATCGACTCAGCCTAATGAAGGACGTTGCTCTTTGTCGACAACTGGTGGACCCAAGCTTCAGCCTCTTTCGCGGCATGGCCTTGGCCTCAGGCTGACGGTCGGTGTTACGGATAAACAAGTCTAATGGTGACACTCATTTTAGCTGCATTACTTCACAGGATGTTCCAATAGTGGCACCGTGCATTGATCAAAATCAGGACCTTCTCAGATAGCCACAATGTTCATCGATTCGAGCCGCGCCGCTTCTCCACGCTAAATTATCACGGTTAGCGAAATTTCAAAAATATATGGCCGTAGACGTGCTCTCAGGCTCTCCCTCCTGCTCCTCTCCTCGCTACTACACAGAGTTTTCAGAGCGGCGCGTTCCGGCAGTTGGAGATTCGGACGCCGTCATTCTCCAGGTCGAGCACCACGTTACAGATGACCTGGTTGTTGTCAAAGCTCGCCTCGGCCACCTTTCGGTCAGCGTTAACACGAATCTGAAACGAAATAAAAAGGTTTCGTTAGTGCCACTAAAACAAGCTTATTTCTTTCACATGCTTATAAATCTTTATAATATTCTCTTATACCTCATTACAGCTCCATGCTAGATTTCACTGCGCTGGTATACTGACCCGCAGGACATATCGGCCGGATCGGATGTCGGTAACGTCGATCCACTGACAGTCGATGTAAGCTCCGTAGATATCGGCACAGCCAGCACGGATGCCCTGGGGCGGCCGGGTGCCCCGCTCTATGTAGCACTGGTACTTCTGAGATATTCCTGTGAACAGATCGTGATTGACGGTTGGGATTGACATTGCTTTCGACTGTGAATAACTCTCTCCCTCTCTCTCTTCTCTCTCCTCCTCTCTCTCTCTCTCCTCT